AATAGAGAGAGAGAAATAGAGAGAAAGAAATAGAGAGAGAGAGGAAGAGAGAAATAGAGAGACAGAGAGAGAAAGAGAGAAATAGAGAGAGAGAGAGATTAACAAATAAATATAATTACACGTACATCGCGCGCGAGCGTGCGCGCATTAAACTTAATCTCTAACAAATCGATATCGTTTCTTTCTTTTCTTCTTTTATAAAACAATTAAAATGAAACATTTGTACTTTAGCAGTATAGAGCAGTCGTTTTGTCGTACTTATTTACCTTAATATCATTATCGTCGTTTATATTATTTTTATACATATATATTGTAATTATTATATTTTTTCTTTTCTTTTCTTTTCGCGTGTTTTCCCATGTAGTTTTGTTTTACTTCTCCCTCTAAAAAGAACAATTCCCGCCTCGCTTGGCACGCCATCGTCCATCGTCATCGTTATCATTCGGCATCTCGGTATAATCTTGCGTTACACATATAGGCTGTCCCGTAAAATTATCGAACAGAAGGAAAGCGGGTCGAACGCGTCGTCGGAAGTGAGACGATCCGTTGGAACATCGGCTGTGTTGGATGTATAAAATTTTATTTATCGTTCCGCCTCGTCCGCCTTTCGAATCATCGTCGCGGATCCGGAAATGTAAATCTGATCGAGCATTGCCGACTCGTTGGGATCGTTTCACATCTGGCCGGTACGTGCGTTTACCTCCGTTACAGAGAACCTGGCACTCGTGACGTCATATAGGCGGCAACAGTCATTCCGAAAAATCCAACTGTGAGCCCGGAAACGGTTCTCCGCGTTCTCTGTCGTGCGACCTGATTTGTGTGCGTGAGCGCCTCAGCGAATCATATACCAGAACCGAACATTCGTGTGGGCAAGGTGTGCGCCTTAGAATCTGACCATTCAGACGAGAGCGCCAGGTTCGCTGCAACGAACGATGGTACTTCACTCCGCGTTGGCTGCTTTGCGGTTTATAAAATGTCCGGTGTATAGATATAGTATGCAGTCGATATCTCGCCTATTATAAAAAAGAAGGATACGTGTAATATATGTGATAGAGCGTACGCGACGAGATGCACGCTTGAGCACAACTTATCTATAAATATACAATCATAGAATCAATATCAAACAAAATCGTGATTACTGCAGAGTCCTGGCTTACGGGCGGAATACATATGTATTTATAGATAAAATAATCATATGTATATACATACATATGTATATACATACATGTGTGTGTATATATGTACGGTATATATGTACATACATAAGAATATTTGCCATATATTTATCTCTACGGAGATAACAAAAGACTGAAAGGAACCGCCACTTTTTCTTTGCTATAACGTTTCCCAGAATGAACAAAAAAAATATATATAAAAGAAAAGACGTATCGGACCGATAAACTTCAATTAATAAAACCGTAACGCCGACCGATAAACTTCAATTAGCAGCGATAACGAAATAATAAAATAATAATAGTAGTCGTAATCATAGTACGGGATATGATTACCTTCGAATAATATTAATGATAAATGGTACATTGATATACGCAACGATTCCCACAGTATATGTACAGATATAATAGCACCATGACCGAAATCTCAGGGTTACAATGTATGCAGCGTTACGCCGGGGACGTAGGAAGGGGATAAAGAGGTGCGGATGGAATGGAGGAGAACGGAAATGAGAATTGGTTTGAGGAGGGTGTTGAGGATGGTGAGCACAGGGGGGCGGAGGGGAGATCTTGCGCCTCGGTCGGAACACGAGAGAAGGGAATGAAAGAAGCGGACGTACGATTCAGTTTAAGGGATGCTACGTCGATTATCGTTCTTACATCTTTTTTCGTCGATTGCACCGATCGATCGCTGTCCCAATTGTTTTTGTAAAACGGTGGCAACGCGAAACACAAGCACACACTTCAATCACTTGTCCGAGACGATTGAACAAAGAAACTTTTTGGAGTACAGATGTAACACGAACGGTTCTTTTAAATTAAAATTAAAATTTGTTGTTTTTATTACTTTATAAATTAACATTAATATCTGTTTATGAAAATAGAAATTTTAGCATTTTATTTCGTTGAAGTTCTGAATGTCAGGAATAGTGAAGCGGTTAACAAAGAAATGTTACTTTTACGAATGATTGACTGAGGAGAAACGAACAGCCTCGCGTCAAACTTTGTTCTTTGAGTTGTGCAAATTGATCCTTCCTTCCAGCCGCTTAGATCATTTATTCGGCGAGCATTGCCGTTGAGAAGCGATCGATCAACGCGATCGAGTAATCGTTATTATAATTAATATCGTAATTAAGTATTTGGCCGTTTCGATTAACGTGTTTCATTCAACGTTCACGCGGATATCGTAAAGTAATGCGATTGTTTGCTCTAGGTCGGCGAATAAGTCGTGGGGACTAGAAATTTTGAAAAAACGAATCGCAAATTCAAATATCACAGGAGGAAAATGTCGCGGCATTTTTATTCATTCTTTCCTTATCTTTTTTTTTCTCCTTGTTTCGCTCTTCTTGTATCGCCGTTTCTGTATTGAGCCGGCGAGATTCTTAGGACAGCCACTAGATTCGCTCGAATTACAGAATTTATATACACGAGCAGAAAAATGCTCATACATACATTATTACACACTGAGTGACTCGATTTACATTTTATTGAGACTTTTTTCGCTGTGTGAAAGAGAGAGAAAGAGAAAAATAGAGAGAAATAGGGAGAGAGAAATAGAGAGAAATAGAGAGAAATAGGGAGAGAGAAATAGAGAAATAGAGAGAGAAAGGGGGAGAAATAGAGAGAAATAGAGAGAAATAGAGAGAGAGAGAGAGAAAGAGATAATAATTTAGATGATGGCGAGAAATGACTCACTTCTCGTACTTTTTATTTTCTCTCTCCTCATTCCTTTTTATCGCGTCTCTCCCTGGCGCAGCTCTGTTTTGATAGTTCGTTACGAGAGCCTAGAACCTTTCATCTTTCTTTCCTTTCTTTTCGCTTCGTTTTTTATATAATATATTTTCGTTCGCTTCTTGCTCCCTCTCGTAGGACCTCAAAACCGAGGAAAGGGACGCTGCGCCATTCCGTTTTTGTCTAGCAGTTCAGTTTCTTAGCAAGGTTGTAGAGATGGCCTATCGGATTAGATCTACGCTCATTCAACACAATGCGTTTAATAACTATACTTTTTGCATATAGATTTATAATCTTCATATATATATAGACTCATATATATATATTTTTGTTTTATATTAAACGATGATATCCCTTCTTTGTTCAATATATTAATTAGGTATGATATGTTTATTCACAACTTGATGTGAGCGCTTAAAGTTGAAATTTCTGTCTTTCATCGTCGTCATCGGAGCGCGTGCAAGTGAAAACACCCTCGCGCGTCACCCAACAGATAACGGGGTTCTCATCGTCATCTCAACGACAGAAATTAGCAAATGCACCGACGCGATACGTTAACGTTAATTTAAGTACGCAGCTAGGGTAAAACATTAATTTCTCTAGTGATAAACTTAGATCCTCTCAAGAAATGTTCATTCCCCCTGCCCCCCCAATCCGCCTACCTACCCCCTAACCCCACTCGCAAATCGACCAAAATCTCTCACGATGAATGTATATGTATAAGTATATTACATATCGATACGCATTACATGCTAGTCATTGTCAGAGAGTTTTATTTAGCGTTCAAGAGTTCGAAGAGTTCGAAACATGCTCACTTCAGGATTCCATTTCAACAACATCGGGAAACGTTTCTTCGTCGATGATTGTTCGCCGATGATCGCCGTTCAGGATCGACTCGATAACAAACGCAACAGCACAATGCAACAAGTTTACTTGTAAGTATAGTCGTACGCGACATCCAATTCGTTTCTTCGCTATTTTTTTCTTCTCCTTCTTTTTTTCTCGTCGTTCGTGTACCGTATAAAGCTGGAAAGTTTTCACTGTACGATTCCATCTGTGACCCACGAAGTCTCTGCCATATTAATCTCGTCTGCAGACTTTCGTATAGCAACGGAATTCAATACATTGACAGTACCATTTCAGCAGTATCAGTAACCAAAAGACGCGTGCTCTGCCTTTACGATTGTGTCCGAAAGAAGTTAAGTAATTGGACGCAACATGCAACTCCGCAGCTCTACACAGTGCTCACCAGTGAACACAATGCGACTTCCCTTTCGATTTTTGGTTTCCTTACATTTAAAAATCGAGAAGTTTTTAACGAAAGAATACATATATATGTATATATATATATATATTCTCTCCGTTTCCACGGGACACCCTGAAGCGATGCAACAATATCTATAAAGGTAATCCACTATACACTACTTGTCAAGTAATAAAAATAGAGATTGCATAGATTGAGATTCGTAGCGGATGCATCTAGAGAGACACGATCCTATAAAGATTTATCATCCTCTTGAGCTTTATAGCGTGAAACGTTCCATTTCTTTTTCTGTATTTGTATAATATCTGTATATGTATAAGTGTGATGCGCGGCGGCTCGTGGACCGCGCGCGCGTCCGCCATTTTGTCGGGACGCGCCGCCGCCTGTCGGTCCACGGTCTCCCGACGCGAGCGGATCGGGAAACACGGTGGTTTTTACGGACGAACGAAAAAAATATGTTTCACCATCGCTTGCGATATGTCTGCGAGTTTTGTAGTTGGCCGTCGTTCCTCGTCCAATCGGTCACGAACGATCG